TTGTCATCAAAATGTTGGTCATATTCCATATTTAAAAGTTGAACTTATTTTTGAGGCTTCCGACGGTCCCTTTATAGGTTCTGGAAAGTCTGTAGGCCTGAACATTATTTGAATAAAAAGTATAAAAAGAGATATTTCTAAAAACAAGCTAGGTAGTGTACTTAGTGAACATATGTAGGTATTGAAACAACCTACTTACAGATTATAATTTGTAATGATTTAATATTCTAGTTATGCTTCAATGATCGACACATCAGAAGTACGAGCTTCATTTATGTCTGGATCCCCCATAGATCTTTATTCAACACAGTACATCGTTGTATCTAAATTTAAATCGGAAGATGAACTGAATCTGAAAACACTAGAACTTCACAAAGGTAGATATAATTTATCCTCTAGAGAATAAATCTTATTTCTAAATTCATAGTAATATTCCTTTTCTTGCAGCATAATTCAATTTACAGCATCCCGGATTGTGCAGTGTCTGTTGGGAACTGCAGGCCTCCCACCGCAAAAACTAATCGCGGGAAACACTTCACACCTACTAAACGTTAGGCCGCTGTATCTCCGCCAACAGATTTATTGATGATTTTTTTCTGTAATCCGAGGACCGAGCACTGAGCTTGCTAGATGGTCGTGGTAATAAATATGGCCACGATCGTATATCAGTGCATCCGCCACACGAGTGCATGAAGATTACCCAGTTGCTAGACCAGTGTTGAGAGCAATTCCACCACGCCTACTTTCTTTCTTGCGTAAATAAGAACATATCATTGCATCCCTGCATAAGTGCTAAGAATCGAATGTTTTAATATAATTTGAAAGTGGAGCAGACGTTGTCAGTAATTCGTACGCATATTAACGAGTCTCTTTTCTAGCATGGTTGAACATGTTTGAAAAGAATATTTTAATATTATCCAAGAACGATTTAAATGCGTTGGCAGTTCTTCCAGAGACCTTTAGTTCTCTGATTTTATTATAATTGTCTCATGGTGATGCTTCTCTAAGGGAGTGACATGCTTGACGCATTTGCTGTTATCGAATGCATCGGGAGATGACGTTAGAATGCTTTCCTATACCAGATTTAAGTGCCTTTGCAAACGAAAGCTGACATTTCTCATAAGTTTACTTAAGCCGTCACACAACTTTGGTTTTCAGTGTATATTTTGTTTTTGATTATCTTAATACAACTGACTGACGGCTTGAGTTCAATGTGCACGAGAGAGAAGTGTATATAGAGACGTATATTAGAAAGAGATAGAAGCTGGCTGGATAGCGGAACTCATCACCTCGTTGCTTAGCAGCGCTGACGCGGCAATCTGACTGAGTTGTGAATTGTGTTGAATCTGGTTAGGATCTATTCCGGATCAGTCTAACGGCGCTTCATGTTAATAATAATAGTAATAATAACAATAACAATAATAATAGAAGCTTAGTAGCACGAATAAAATAAATGACAAACAGTACATGTAAAAACAAGCACTACAGATTACACACACATACATATGGTTAAAATTGTGACAATAAAAAGTATAAAAGAAAATTAAAACAAACAACATCAAATCATTAAATAAATGGCATAAGAGAGATACCATAATAAATAATATATACATGGTTCGAATAAAAATCAGAAAAAGAAAATATGGCACAAAATATTATTATTGGGTATCCGTGAAGAAGTTGTGGTTGAGGAACTCGACAATGGTGAAAAAAGCTGTACACAAGAGCAATTTTTTGACAGCGTTACTGAATTCATTGTATGCTAGAGATTTTAGGTCCTTAGATAAAATATTGTAAAACTCTATAGAAGCAATCGATATGTTTCAGCTGTGATGTTTATCAGCTGTGCGAAAAATGTATTGGCACATACTTCTATGACTCTTTCTTTTGAATGATTTTAACGAACCCCAAGGAGTTTTCTTTAACCAGGTTCAACCAGAACATACAAACGAATTAAACTTATTTCAGAAGTCAAAAAGCACATTAGAAGACGTTTTGATATTATATGTGACTTTCACCTCTATGACTATTTTAATCAAGTTCAATTTTCGATGAAAGCAGATATAAATATACATAAGGAGGGACGGAACTGAATACAATTCAACGGTATATCCTTATTTTAGGACTACTAGTATATTACTATTGCCATTAACAGGGTTGCCAAATTGAAGATGTAATCATATATACTAGGTACGCGCAAACTGTGTTCCTATATGCATGGTATATATACTAAGTGACATATAAATCCGAACATCCAGTTTAAATGGTTTTATTTTAATAAAAGTTGGTGAATGTATTTATCTTACTGTAAATAACAAGTGAAAAAACTTTCAGCCATATCAGTTGGACATTCCGGTTTTTACACTGTTTTTTTTTTAATTCACTAACGCTCTAAAAATGAATATTTCAGCCGCAGTAAAGAATCAACGTTGGCGGATTTTGGTTCTTGACATCCTTTACGATCGGTTACGATGCCTAGAGTACGGAGACCTGTACGATTTCGTCAACTTAGTGAGTTTGATAGGGGCCGTATAGTGGGACTTCGGGAAGCTGGACTTTCTTTTCGGGCAATTGCCGTTAGAGTGCACAGAAGTGTAGACACTGTGGTTAGGTGTTGTCAGGCATGGCTTCGAGAAGGCCGTACGCAAAGAGCAAGCGGTACTGGACGCCGCCGTACAACAACAGACCGTGAAGATCGCCGCCTAAGATTATTGGCCTTAAGGGACCGTTTCTCCACTACCAGGTCCATTGCAAATGAATGATTTGCAGAACACGGAAGACCTATTGACATGCGAAGTGTTTACCGACGAATGAGAAGTTTTGGCTTGTTTTCATACCGGCCACACTGGGTCCTCCCTTTAACTCGAGAACACCGACGTAATCGCCTTGAGTGGTGCAGACAACGGTCACTCTGGGATCAGGAATGGAACAGTATTGTCTTTAGTGACGAGTCTCGATTTTGTTTAGGCATGCACGATGGTCGTGCCAGGGTTAGAAGGCGACGTGGTGGAAGGAGGAATCCACAGTTTTTTGTTGAAAGACATGTTCATCACACTGTTGGAGTTATGGTTTGGGGTGCTATAGCTTATGGTTCCAGGTCACCTTTAATCTTCATCAGAGGTAACATGAACGCGCAGCGTTATATCCACGAAGTTCTAGAACCCCATCTTTTACCCTATCTTGACACCCTGGCAGATCCAACTTTCCAACAAGATAATGCCCGACCACATGTTGCAAGAGTCACAATAGACTTCTTTCAACATAATGATGTCACAATGTTACCATGGCCACCAAGATCTCCCGACGTATCCCCAATTGAGCACGTGTGGGATATGATGGGTAGGAGATTGCTCAATTTGCAACGTCCTCCTCAGACTCTAGAAGCACTTCGAGAGGAGTTGGTGGTTGCCTGGAATAAGATACCACAGGAGGACATTGACCACCTGATTAGAAGCATGCCTAGGCGCGTTGGAGAATGCGTAGCACATCAGGGTGCATCCACACATTATTAAAGGTCAAAGGGCTTTAAAGCAGTGCAATCATTTTGAAATTTTTATCATTTTCTTATTATGCTTCATTAAGTACTTATACAAAATTTTATTAAAATAAAACCATTTAAACTGGGTGTTCGGATTTATATGTCACTTAGTACATTTAAAAGCGTTTCCGTGGAGCAGACTGAATTACATACCATGAGAAATTTAATTTTCTGCTACGGAAAAATTATACGATAAAGCAGCATTGTTAACTAAGTCTGGCTACATTACTTGCAGAGTGCGTGGAAAACAGCTACGAGTTAAGAGAGAGCGCGGACTTCAACCTCTTGAATCGTGAGGTGAATGACTGAGCTATAACACTGACCAATTTGAGACGCTGGGATACCTTTAGGGCCATTTAATCTTATTTGGTAACTAATGCAAAAATTACGCTGATAATTATGGCAAACACGTTAGTTGTGGTTTGCAAGTGAAAAAAGTCTGGTCAAAACTTTTTTCTCAAAAATATTTTTCCTCTATTAGCAATAAGAATAGGTAATACATCTTATAAGATAATTTACTGGCTGGTACACTAGCTTACGTATTTGTAAAGTCAAACACGAACATTCAGCGATGTCATATCAGGCTCAGTCTAGCGGCCATTTTCTTTTGTCTCATCGTGCCGTTAGGATCTAATAGCGATGGTAGAAATAAGCTTGGATGATTGTCAAGTCTATCATGGTGCATGCAACTTCTTTCCATGATGATATCCCTGATGAATGGGATTATCAGATCTTTATAGAGTGTTTCATTTACCAGGTTTATGATCTGTATCCTATGAGCCAACTTAATTGTTTATTTTTCAAATCGATTTGTTTGCTTTTCTTTGATAAATGTAGAGGTATGGTGATTTGATTCAAGAATGGGCTTAGGCAACACGTACAGCTACAGAACAAGAGTACATCAAGTGAACAGCAGGCACTTCTAAGTTGACATCTTGTAGAAAAACCTATATAATGTCAAAAAACCGACATACAGGGTCGGTTGTCAAGTTACGTAATAACCTAATAACCCTGCCGGTTGTCTGTGTTTTTGCATGTTTAGTATGGGTTTATGTACACTGTACAATATTGAGACTTTTTAGATTTGACCCCCTCAGAAAATGTTTAGCTTTTCGCTCTTAAGAATGTGTTGAGGGTAGATAGACCTTCATAATATACAAAAAGTTGCTTCTTTCCGATGTTTAATTACCTCACCATCTAAACGTGATTCTTTCGTCAGTCCGACGAAAAGACAGCCAACCATGAACAGCTGTTTCGTGCTTCTTGGCTACTCATCAGCATGATCTAGGCTTGGTCTCTCGTCTCTGGACGGAGAACGAAAGCATCGTAACTATCGTCTATCCAGGAAGTACGGGCTATCGAGGTAAAACAACGCAAAGCGCCATCAACCATACCAGTGGCCGATTCTGGTGAGATAGATGGCGCTTTGCGCTGACCTACTCCATCATCTATTAGAAATTAATAATTTCAATATGGGAGAACTTTATTGATACCTCTTTTGTATGATTTGTCTAGATTTTGGTAGGTGACAGGCGGACACGTTGTGCAACTTGTCCAATGCTAAATTCAACTCCATCTTCTTCCAAAGAACTTCTTGGATCTGCAGCTTATTTAGAGGATGTTGCAGCACATCTATTACGTCGCTCACCTGAAAGTAAATACCCAGTAAACATGAAAAGGTATAGTCATATTCTTGGAATGTATGTTTTAGATCATAAAATGTTCTCAGAACATACTGTTCACATCCCTTTAAAGGATGTTCTGCTGACGAACGTTCTAAGAATATGGGCTTTAAGAACATGCGGAACGAATATGTTCATAGCATATTCACATAAGGAATACCCATTTGCTCACATGCTCAGAATATTCATCTTAGGATATGATGTTACAAAATCGTGTCACGTGACAGTAAACATTCCTTCATGTAATAAAAAAGAATATTCCTGGCACGTGTTAAGCACATTCCATTATATAAAGTAAGTTTTGTGATAATTATTCACCTCAATTCATGACTAGTGAACATCTGTTTTTCATGTGAGTAAGGTGCTTCCAAGATCGTAGCTTACAAAAACATCGCCCAATGAGTTCATTTGTATTGAGAAGAAATTGGCATCTGCAGCTGCTCCGGATGGAGAGACGTATCATCTATATGAATAGAACAAGAAAAACAAGAATAGATATTTAGAATACGAGGGGATCGTTACATGGAAACATACCTATGATATACAGATTCTATTATGAACATATAGTAAATTTTCTCTGTTAGGCTTTCAATTATCCTTCTTCGTTTTGAAATTGGGCTTAACAGGTTCGTATGCCTATTGGTTTGTTCGTACTGTAGTAGGTAACTTGTCGGTGACTGTCAAAATCAGAATCAGAGAGATGTTACCTGTTAATCACCCTGTAGACAGGAAAAAGACAAGTTGTCAGATTTTTGCTCCTTAAAATATTTGAGAATTTGCTGAGAGAACTGACAACTATTCTTTAATTAGTCTTGGTATTAAGATTGATCGGACAGTAGCTGTTGATGCTGGGATACGATGCGTACCTGAAAGCGAAGACGATTATCGGAAGATAATTCGTCTTTTCAAAGAGGAAAATGTTCCTCACCATAAATTTCCCCTGCCCTCTGAGCGTAATATTCACGCTGTTATTAGAGGAATCCCAGCGTCAACTGCTGAGCAGGAAATCAAAGAGGAGCTCGAACAGAAGGGATATACTCCCCTTCACTTGAACCGCAACGGCGGCGTGCCCATGCCTTTGGTGGTAGTGATCCTGCCTAAGAGAGAGAAGTCACAGCAGGTGTTTAACGAACATGAGCTGCTGGGGCCCTCTATCAGAGTTAAGGTTCAAAAGAACTCTCGACTCATTGGGCAGTGTCACCGCTGTCAGAAGTATGGACACGCGCAATCGTATTGCATTGCTCCTCCAAAGTGTCTCAAATGTGCTCAAGGCCACATGACACGTCTGTGCCCTCAAACAGGACAAGAGGCGCGCAAATGTGCGAACTGTGGAGGTGATCATCCGACCAACAGTTCTACCTGTAGATTCACTAGTAGGAGAAATCTACAGGTCATCTCGCAAAGGCGAGTAAAATCATACGCAGTTGCAGCAAAGGTTGAAATTCTAGCTGCCCCTGCTGTCCCGAGCTCACCTTCGACTGCTCGAAACGTGGACCTGGCAACAGCGCTCAGGTCCTTGCAGCAGATGATAAGTCCCCTGATTAGCGCTAGACAGGCCTTGTAGGTGATCTTTCCGATAAATGGCTAGGTACAATAGTCGACAGCCTGCATTCATCAAAATTCTTCTCTGGAATTGTTTGGGTCTTAGGGATATTCCCAAAAAACGGGAATTTCATCAGGTTCGGTTGGATGAGAGTATATATGTGGCTCTGTTGCAGGAATCGTTGCTTTATCCGGGACATAGTCTAGCTTTCCCGAATTATGATGTTATCCGAGCTGATAGATAAACTGGACTGGGTGGGGGCTTGGCAGTCCTAGTGAAACGTGGTATTGACTACCCTTAAAGCACAAATACCGAAATCCAGAGCATTGAGGCGGTTACCGAAGAGGTCAATATGACGGGAGGTGTCCCATTGAGGTGCTGCAGGAGGCGGACCTGGAAGTCCTTATGGACTACTCTGGTTCGCTTAGTGTAGCAGGGGACTTCAGCTGCAAGCAGAGCATGGTATTATTGGTTGAATTCCACCAGTGGGATTCGACTGTACAACCATGTGATACGAAACGGATACCTCATACACAGTACTAAAGAGTCCATGCACCACCCATTGAGTCACCTTCAGGCACCAGATGTCATCGACTTTGCAATATCTAGAAAATGTAGATACAGTATCACTTCTCGAATCATGTATGACATTTCTAGCGATCATCTTCTTGTCTTACTGGAACTGGGTAATGAGCAAGCCTTAGAAGATGGAACTTCTCCAAGAAAACGGGTTGATTGGGAATTATACAAGTTGTTTCTTAGAGAGTTCCCCAATATCCTGATCATAGGTGATTAGAACGGTACAGATGCGCCTCAAGCGGAGTGAACAAGCTTCGTTCAGCAAGCTCTGCAGTGTGCAGCTGTGCTTCCTGTACAATAATACGGCAAGCGAAAAGGCCTTGTCATCCTGATGACATTCACAGGCAGTTCAAAAATAGGAATAACAGTTTCTTTAAGCTCCTCAAAGGAGCCGCGGTGCCCCATGATTCACCTGCGCGGCTGCTTCAGTGTGAAAAAAACTGAGCGATATACCAAGAACATCAAGACCTTGAAGATCTACTGGGGGAGAGAATGAAACCCAAAGACCTGAATTTTGTGGAAGAACAGTGTCACAATTCAACAGCAACAAGTTTTTGTAACATTTTCGGGTGAGCAAGTGGCAGAAGAAATTCCAATGAAATTCCATCTCAAATATCAGGCAGCGCCAAACTGCTTTGTCCTGAATATTTTGTTTATTGACCCGGTAATGGCAAAATGAGGATACTAAATACAGTATGAAAAACTTTCAAGAACCATAATTAATACGATTTTTGTAATCACTAATCTTTCAAAAATTTTGGTTATACTCACAAAATGAGAAATTACGCGATTTAAGTCTTACTTCTATGTATCTTCATAGCCTCAGTTCATTTTCTCCATGTTGGAAACTCTGTGAAAATTATAGCTATGTAAACAGACCTTGATAATTGCGCAGGTAAGTTCGTTTGATCATGTTGTTAGATTCTATTTCAAATATCTAAACTTCGCTCTCCCTATAGGCGCGGGAGAAGACGTACTGCCCCGCCGGGCAGACACTGCCTGACATTGACCTTGAGTGGTCGTAAATTGTAAAAATCTAACAATGTAATTATGTTCCGTCCTCGTCGAAGTAAGTACGAGTATTTAGAATACATATTGTAGATGTTCAAAGCTAGTTGCAATAACATACTACTAACGCTCTGCAATGATAGATTGTATACAACTACGCAAACTGTACGACAACTACGCAAACTGTACGCAATGTATGTGTCAACTAAATGAACATTTCCAATGTAACAACTCAAGTTAGGGCATTTAGCAGCCGGTAATATGACGTACATTGGTTCAAAAATTACCATCCGTTACATGGTAATAAACACATAACGTAATAACATAGTTATGTTTAAGGTGTGGAGACTTGGTTCACCTCAATTTCCGCTTGAGTAAAGCTATTGTTTGGCATAAGAGATTTGTGACGTATCTCAGAAAACGCACTCCAGCCCGTCGCGAGCCCGAGACTACTATAATTTAGCAGGCGCAGAGGTAAACGCATTTCATGTACTGTGGGCTGTCATTTGTGACACTCTCTACTGAAACCAACTTCATCCACCTGGGAGCAGAGGCACCTTGTTAAAGTTACTGTACAGTGGGCCTAAAAATACGGTAAAACTAAAAGTGGTTGCCACATGTGTGACCCCGAGACTTTCAAGAACTAACAAATCCCAATTTCAATATTATTCAACCCAATCCGGATGTTGTCTGTTTCAGTTAGTTTGCACACTCTGACCTGAGGTTAGAGCCAGCACTCTTGCTGATTTCGTCATCCAAATATCTGCAGAGCTCACCAGCAACCCCTTTGGTTGGTTGATAATAACTAATAAATGCCCTTCAAAAACCATCTTATGTCTGCCTCGTTAGTAACATTTTGGATAAAAGACTGATATCTCAAACAGTTATATCTTGATCTCTTATTACACTGTAAGGTAAGAAATTTCAAGGTAGAAAACCAGACATGTATTTCTTCCCGACAAGAGCCCAGTACATTGTGGATTTTCCAGTGACGAAAACCAGGGTAAGCTTCAGAATTAGCGGTTGCGGCGTCCTGGGTCCCTCCTTCAGATCCTTGCGTTACTTCTAGAACTGAAATTTCAGAAACACCGAATACTTGAACCAAAATCAGGACGGTGACAGGTGTAGCTCCCACTCCGTTTTCACGTCCCACTGACGCGAAAGCTCATCTGTAGCAGTACTACTCCTAGATTTTATATTTGACGCGAGGGCAGTAAGATTACTCTCTTTACACAATTGCCATAGTTTTCCCGCTAGCTGGTCCAGTCGTGGAAACTAGAAGCTCTCCATTCTATTGATGTAGAATGGAATATAATATGCGACAGCCCATCAATTCGGGAGCAAAGCATTCCCCACAGAAAAAAACTACCACTGGTTCTTGATGATTAGCATGCGGGATCTTCGCGGGTGAACAAAAACTATGAGACTTTTCCCTGGCCAACGAATGTCCCAGTCCGAGAAACTATACAACTTAAAAGTGGATAATTCAATACCTCTGACCGCATTTGAAAGTTTCTTTGAGCCCCAGCCGAGGTAGATCTTAAGTTATCTTATGTTAGTGGCAAACCAGCGTTAAATTTCCCTTGAGAATTTGATAAGGCAAGAAATTTAACTCATTAATATATGTAACGAAATGAAAGACAAGCTGACACCAAGATTCCGATGTTTACCGCAAAGTTTCGGACTCTGTCTTGGTTGCAGTCCATTATTGCCCTTACTAGGTTTAGTAATGTCTGCATCATCCGCTCAAGTAAAGTTACTTTCTTTCTGTCACAATTTAATACTGAGCCTGAAAGTGCTCAATTTTTTCTTAAGGTATTCCGGAAATGGTTTTATTATACTTTGTGAACACATGAAGGGCACAGTTTAGCCTAAACGGTACAGCATTGTTTTGGAAGAGATGTCCTTTGAATATGAATCTGAAACATATTCTATGACTCTCCCTAACGGATACAAAAATCTCTGCATATTCCAAATCCAGATTCGTTAAGAAAGTATCTCTACGGAGACGTCTGATCCCAGTTCAATGGCCTAGACTTAAGTGTTCTAAACAGACAAAGTATCTTGAGGTAAGGAATAAAACGTGATAACCCGTCAGACTTGGGGACAAGAAAAAGCTGGATAGGTGCTGATTTTTAGTTAACTCAACTTTGTTACTAATAGCACCGCAGCTAAGCAATTGAGAGACTATCGAAAGTCGGTAGCTCATAGATGGACCAACGAGATTCAGCTATGGCAAACTGCTGAACCAGTCGCTATGTGAATGGCAAGTGACCATTTGAGTCCAAATCAGGACTTTAGCGTCACGCTCAAAGCTCTGCCATTGATGATGA